GGGGGGGGGGGGGGGGGGGGGGGGGGGTTAGTTCATGCGCTTAGGAGGGATAGGTGCTCTCTCAGAGTTGGCCGTGGCGTGCATGGATTGGTTGTCCAGGCGAGCTATTTTGGTCTCGGGCACTGGATCAGTCGAATGTGGGTGAATGGATTGGGTCGGGTTGCTCCATGGATCTGCGCGCGTACAGCCTGTCGACGCGCGTGTCGTGCTAGCCCATTTGTGCAACACTATCGAGAGTGTGACATGTGTCCATCAAGTTGCACGACGCATTCCTCCTCTAATTATTTCGATGATGTAACTATGTTATTGATGATGTTATATGATGTTATACGATGATGTTACATGATGAAGTTGTATGATGATGATATGATGATGATGATGCATGATAACATGATGATTTAAGATGTATGATGATGAGATGACTTAATATGACGTTATTCCATACTAAGACGATGTGCATGTATTAAATATCATGAAGCATTATGACGATGATTTTTCTTAGATACAACCCTAGTTAATGTTAATGATAATGAACGTATGAAGGCCAAGGCATGCGTGTTACTTAGAGTAATATGTGAACGAGATATAAGGTTGTGTCATAAAGAAGATTGAAAGATGAAAACTACAGGGACCTCATGCAGTTTTTGTGTACATATAAATCAGGTTATTTCTCCATTTATGATGACGAGTACGAATGCGCACACTACGATGATGATAAGCATCATGCCTCGCATGACATTCAGGGGTTTGTTGACCTTCGGAGGTCGCTACGGACAGCCAGCTCGACCATGATGTGTCTAGGGGGTGCGAACCTCCTGGAGATTCACGCTTGCACGTCTGGGTCGAGTGTAAGGAAGTACTACACATCCAATTTTATCTGAACTATTGGCCACCCCAATGATGGTTTTATCCATAGGTCCCTAGATCATGAGTTGCATGTGTTTACATTCCCTAACCTCAATAATGGAGTCATTGACTAAGTATTTCTTAAAGTACACGCTACTTCTATTTCAAGTAAAGGCAAGACACCAATATACGACTGACGACGACATCGTAAGTAGAGACCATGACACGTGCATAGGAAAGTGGTACTTTATTTTCTTTGTCTTAAGTTAGTATATGGTGTTTTTACTGTTAATGTTTCACTTGTTTTATTTAGTATTTTCTTATGTTGTTTTAAAGAGGACAATGTTTTAGGATGAAAGTTTAAAGATTTAATTCCAATAAGAGTATAGGTTATGATGACGACGATAACGATTTTTGGATAGTAGAAATCTAGAATCGCTGATGTTAGTCAATGTAGAGTCAAATTTAAGGGGGAAATCAATGCTAAAAGAGTTTCAATACATTATATATAGAATTGTTTATATTCAAATATAAATACAACATATTAAACAGAAACATTCTCATCTCCAAAACCTAGTCAATGGGCCCATAAGTAGAACAGCTCCAACCACACCATGACAAATGTCATCTCCTCTCAAACCTTAAACCACCACGTGGCATGCAACCTTTACACGTGTCAAGCAATGCTTGGATCAAACTACTCTATAAAATCACAACGAAGAGTGTTCAAAATCAACAAATACAATTTTATTCACCAAAATCCTTTCAGGTTTCCAACTCTTTGTGTGCTTTTTGAATTCATCTGCAAAAGTAAAATGGCAGACAGCTCTCAAAGTCTGAGCTACCAAATTGGAGAAGCTAAAGGGCAAGCACAGGTTCACTTTGCCTCTATTTTTTAAAATGATTCATGACTCATAATCATACGACTAAATATAAGATTAAGGAGTAATGGGTAATGTATTTATGGATGTGACTATGTAGGAGAAGGCGAGTAATTTGATGGACAAGGCAAGTGATGCAGCCCAATCAACCAAGGAATCAATACAAGAGGCAGGACAACAGATGCAAGCCAAAGCGCAAGGTGCAGTTGATGCTGTCAAAGATGCCACTGACACGAAGAAATGAAGCTTTTCTACTTACATTTCATATTGTTTCTATGAAAGGATTTAAATTAAGTTCTTGATTATCTATTTTATTGGTTTCTTATTTCTTACTTTTGTTTTTGATAAAAATGATGTTATTCATTTTGTTTTGAGGTATTATTATGATAATACGTAGTCATCAATTATAATAATGCAATTTGTCCTATTGGTAGTTGCTATATCGTGAGTATTGTATATGTTGATTATAATACATCAAGCAATGGTTACAAAAATATATATTTATAAAAATAAAAAAAATTAACCAATTGCCGACAACCTCTAGAATTTTGGCGACTGCTGGAATTCTTGGGTAACCTCTCCCATGGACACGCTCGTCCAACTCTCATTTTGTCCAAACTACCTCATTCTACCCCCAAAACACAAAACATAGAAACATCGAAAACGGAAGGAAAGAGAGAGGTTGACGAATGGTCGCGAAACCACATGACACCGCCTTATAGTGTTAGATAACGCCGTGGAAGAGAGACTAACGACACAAAACATAGAAACATCGAAAACGGAAGGAAAGAGAGAGGTTGACGAACGGTCGCGAAACCACATGACACCGCCTTATAGTGTTAGATAACGCCGTGGAAGAGAGAGACTAACGAGACAAGAAACACCTTGATGCACATGAGTGATTACTTCCAAAAGGTGCAATAGCTTTACCAACCAAGAGGATAAACATGTGATGAGTATTTAAAAATAAGTGACCCCACTGTTAAGGTCAGAAAAGGAATCCACATACAACGTATATCATGACTACTCGAACCTCATTTTTGTTGTTGTTCCTTTGGATAATTTCTTTTCTGATAGGGTTGGATGCATAGTATTTAATTACATACGATTCATGTAAATTCATGTAAACGCATGACCACTAACAAACTCATTAATATATACTTTAGGCTTGACTATGGGGCGGTAGAAAACAAACAAACAGGAAAAGAACATGAATAATAATGTGGTAATCGGTGAAGAATAATCCATGATTATATGACAAACAATATACATGTGGTCTTGCATTAAAAATAATTATCCAGTGAGAAGATGCATATGATATTCCATTAATTAAGAAAACCGAGCTTAAAGTCTGATACGTGCTACTCATTCATCAATCAATTTCATCTAATCTAGCCTATAGGCATTTCAACAATAAACTTACTTACAATTTTAGGCTAAAGGTGCTTCTAATCTCCTCTTAGTTGGTCGTTCTTAATTATTACTCAACTGAAATTCAGACTTACATATGATATTCCATTAATTAAGAAAATCGAGGTTAAAGTCTATCCATAAAATCCAAAATAATCAAATGAGCGAACTAAAGCTAAACCGCCGTAAAAGTCAATCAAAGATTACTTTTTTTATTCACTTCGACCATATCACTTAGTCTCTCAACTCTTAGTCAAAAGAGAACTATTGCATATATCTATATATGATTAGGCAGGCGTTTCTTAAAGAATGGCAAGGTAATCCTAATACATGCAAATACTAACAAGCGTTTTTCTTCATTTCTTGTTGGACGCATCATAAAACAAATAGAAATCAACTTAAATTACATTTTTAGACGTAATTTTTATATAATTATAAAATGATTTTTCTTTACTCTATTAAAGTAGAGACAAAAAAAAAATTAAACTTAGACAATCATTATTTTCCAGCCATAGAAAGAAGGTCTTCTCTATAAGGTTCATCTACATGGTAAGGTGATAAAAGATGGACAAAGTTGTGTATTATGCCCCAACTAGAAATGCTTTGATACTATTTGTTATGCTGTAATACCACAATTTCCAATATTCTAATATCACTTGTTATACTCAAATGCCACAATCAAAATGCTCTGGTACTCAATTTTTGTAGCGTAATGCCACAACAAAAAATGCTCTGATACCCAATTATTGTAGCAAAAGTAAGATCAATCGCACACAAACATAAATTAAACAAAGAGACACAAAAATTTACATGGTTCGGAGAGAAGAAATTCTTCTACATCCACGGGTGGTAGCCAATTACTATAACCAAAGTGTTTACAAGTGTATCTCTCCCACTCTTACCGTACAAAGTGTCTCAACAAAATTTCTCCTAATGTCACTTAGACAAATACAAAATGACAATAACTCCACATCTAATCCAAATGTCACTAGACAAATACAAAATGACAATAACTCCACATCTAACCTAAATATCTCTAGACAAATACAAAATGACAATAACTCCACATCTAACCCAAATGTCTCTAGACAAATACAAAATGACAATAACTCTACATCTTAGAACAATGATAGACAAACTTTTATATAGGCATAACAATACTAATTCTCATGCATGAATCAAATAAATGAGAATATGAAACAAAATGGTTATGAAGTAAATGAGAGTTAAAAATTAAAATAAATAAAAATATGAACCATCAAGGGATATGAATTAAATGAGAGTTAACAATATAGGACAACTTACCTAAGTATATTCCATTTATTACAAATTAAACGAGTCAATGTTCATTGTTTGCCAAGAAATTTAAATAAGTTTAAATGACTAGTAACCATTAAAAGATTGAATTTTTTGAGAGAGATAGAAAATGAATAAGTCTTGTTATCTTTTATCACCAAGAATTTTGATCATGTCAAATGTGGTTTGAAGAATAAGTTAGAGTACCTTTAACTATTTAGTTGAGCTAATTTGTCATATTTGTGGTTAGTTTACATTTTCATTGTTATTTGTAAGGCTATAAAAGCAAGTTTAGTACTCAATAATATCATTGCTTGAAGCTCCAATTGTTTATGTTTCTAGCTTAGTCATTCTTCTGTCAAAACCTAACAATTGGTATCAAAGCCACTGCTAGGCTTGGTAAAATAGCAAATTTTTAGTGATCAAATACAGAGAATATGAGTGAAGACAAAACTTTAACGGAGGTCCTCTCTTTGATGGTCACTATGATCACTGAAGTGAGCTGATGGAAAATTTGCTCAGAGCAAAGGGTCTATGGAGTGTGGTAGAGATTGGTTTCTTAGAACTAGATGGAGAAAAAAATTTGCTCACAGTGTGGTAGAGATTGGTTTCTCAGAACTAGAGGGAGAAAAATGCTGACGGAGGCACAAAAGGGTCACCTTGATGATGCTAGGCTCAAAGATCACCAAGTAAAGCAATTGGTCATACTGTCTTTGAACAAATCTTGAATCATCACACAGCCAAGATTGTCTGGGACTCAATGAAGCTAAAGTTTAGTGGAAACCAAAAGGTGAAGAAATCTCTTTTTAATGCATTAAGGAGAGAATTTGAGATCCTAGAAATGAAGAAGGATGAAAGTATCACAGATTGCTTCGCAAGAGTGATGATAATCTCCAGCAAGATGAGAAGCAATAGAGAAGATATGTTAGACAAGAAAATTGTAGAAAAAATTATGAGTACCCTAAAAATTTTATTTATGTTGTAGTATCTATTAAGAAATCCAAAGATATTGATGATAACATGTTCATTGATGAATTACAAAGTTCAGTTGTGGTGCATGAACAAAAATGTCGAGATCCAATGTTAGATAAAAGCATGTGATTTTCTTTATTTAGGTTATTCACTATTTTTTTCTTCAAATCAGTTAGTTGAATCTTGTTTTTAGGTCATATGAACTGAGTCATACACAGAAAATGGAAGATTATTTTTAGCTAGTAATTTGTGTTTGTGTTTTAGGGGCAAGATTTGCTGCCAGCCTTTTTAGAATGTAATTTATTTTAAATTATTTTTAGAATTCAATTTATTTTAAATAGTACAATCAAATGAGAAACATCAGCACCATGTTTTGGCAATAACAAATCTCAAATCTTTGGTTCTCTTCCTCCTCTCATTTTCTTGGGCTTTCTATTTTTTTTCTTCTTTCTACAATCTTCTTCCACTGGCTTTTCTCCGTCTAAGGATTTCCTCTCATCAGTAGGTCAAATAGAAATAAGTAACAGAGGAAGAGGAATTTATAGGGGCAGAGGATGCGGAAGAGGAAGATCAACTTTCAACAAAGCAACTGTTGAATGTTATAGGTGTCATGACTTAAGTCATTTTCAATATGAATGTCAAAGATGAATAAGGAATTGAATTATGCAAATCTAGAAAAAGAGTATGAAATGTTATTAATGACTCATATGGAAAGACATGAAACAGAAAGGAGTGATGTTTGGTTCTTAGATTCTGGTGGCTCAAACCATATGTGCGCAAATGAAGGTATATTTTCAAGCTTAAACAAGACAATTTTCCGCACTGTAAAGCTTGGAAATAATAAAGTATGAAAGTTAGTGGAAATGGTGCATTGAAATTAACTTTGTGTGGGGTTTGTTACACTATTAGTAATGTGTATCCACCTGAACTAAAAAATAATCTCTTGAGCGTTCGACAACTACAAGCAAAAGGAATAGAAGTGTTGTTCAAAGATGGGGTAGGTAGCATTTATCATCCAGGAAAAATGGCAGAGTCAATTATGAGTGCAAATCAGTTGTTCATTTTGCTTGCTGAACCAACTGCCACAACAAATGAAGGAAGATGCCTCCAAGTTTCAAACACGGATCAATCAACACTTGACACCATTGTTATGGTCATCTCAGCTACAAAGGCTTGTGCACCTTGAAATGGAAAAAAAAAAAAAAAAAAACATGGTGGAAGGCCTACCTCAAATTGTAGCTCCAAGCACCACCTGTGAGGCATGTATGAAAGATAAACAATTAAGCCTTGTTCGTGCAGATATATGTGATCCAATTTCACCAGCTTCAAGTAGCCAGAAAAAGTATTTGTTGTGCTTTATAAATGATTTCTCAAGGAAGGCATGTAGTTATTTTCTGGTAGAAAAATAAGAAACATTTTATCATTTCAAATGTTTCAAAATAACGGTGGAAAAGGAAATTGGAATGCCTATAAAATATTTAATGACAGATAGAGGAGGAGAATTCAACTCTCCAGAATTCATCGATTTTTGCAAACAGCATGGAGTAAAGAGACAATTGACCACAACCTATACCCCTCAGCAAAATGGAGTGGCCAAACACAAAAATCGCACCTTGATGAACTTGGTAAGAGC